CAAGCAGGATTTACACCCCTTCTAACCGCATCAATTTCACTAGCAGGATTTACACCCCTTCTAACCGCATCAATTTTACTAGCAGGATTTACACCCCTTCTAACTGCACCCTCAACCCGCTTACTGTTACAAATGCCTCCATCAGAGTGGAAATGTGCAACTAAATTTTTGGGCCATTACATTATTATTATTATATCAAATTTCTTTTAAATTTTAATCAATTTTTAAAAGTTAGTGTAAAAAAAAAGGGAAATAATAAATGTTTTAACATCTTAACCCACAAACTTGTCAAACTTTGAGTGGAGGTGATGTGCATTGCTTACTTTGACCCTTCTGGAAACGTAATTTAAAATTTCAACTGAAACTTCAGCACTAATTGCCCCACAAATGTCTAAAGCACTAATTGCCCCACAAATGTCTAAAGCACCAATTGCCCCAGAAATGTCTAAAGCGCTAATTGCCCCACAAATGTCTAAAGCGCTAATTGCCCCACAAATGTCTAAAGCGCTAATTGCCCCTCAAATGTCTAAAGCGCTAATTGCCCCACAAATGTCTTAAGCGCTAATTACCCCCGCAAATGTCTAAAGCGCAAATGTCTAACAAAAATCATCAGGCTGCTTTATTTGATCACAGTCATAAGAACATTATTTTACAAAATGAAGAACTTCACTGAATTATACATTTCTATCAATCCCCTCTTCATGCCTAACCAGATGCTGATGGAAGTAGTAGCTTGCATCTCCCACTCTTGATTTAATTTAAAATCAGAACCGCAACCACCTCAGTTACCAATACATAATTCAAATTAGATCCGACACTTGGCAGTTGATTACTCTAGTGGGTTCCATTTATACAATGTACCCCTTGGTTTATATCTATCAAAAAGTCAAAGATCATGGCTATCAAATCATACAGCTCTGCAGGGCTTGGCAGCACAATAATAACATAATATTACTCACATCATGGTTTTAAAATGGAACAAATATTATGCTCTAGGTTATGATAAGAGTGAATCAAATAAGACAACATGCCATTAAATGTGGAATTAGCATTACGTGGAAGCTTTTAACTGCATAATTATGACATTGTTAACATTTAAATTTGTGTAAAAATGGAGTACTATTTAATGTTGATAAATTACTACTGGTCTGTGCATGGGGGTCTTGATGAATATATAAAAATAATGGCACAGCATTTCCTCATCACCAAATCGTTTCTTGTTAAATAGTGTGACCTAAGCTGTTTCTGATCTACTTACAATGCATAATGCCACTTCTCACCTGCTTGAGAGGCCATGGACTGACCACTCCAACTCACATATGCAGGGAGTCGCAATGCTCTCTCGCAGTCAGCTTGGGACCACTCTGACCCTCAGGCCAAAAGGGGTCACAATGATCTCTTATTCAGGTAAGTAATCACTCTATCTCTCAGCCAACAGAAGTCACAATTATCTCTCAGTCAGCCAGGTAAGTGACCACTCTGTCTCCTTTAGGTAAGTGACCACTCTATCCCTCAGCGAACAGGGGGTCACAATGATCTCTTAGCCAGGTGAGTAATCCCTCTATTTCTCAGCCAACAGGGGTCACAATGATCTCTCAGCCAGCTGGTGAAAAATGCCTCATTTCCTTAAAACAACAGCAAGAGTTGAGACAATCTGTACCTCAGATAAGATGTGCTTAGTTCAGTTGGTTTTCATACTCCAAAAGAACAGTACACAGAAAAAAAAATGGTTTTATCATTTAATAAAAATATTTTCAATTTAAACCACAACCCTGTTTCACCCTGGGACAGCTGCGCAGGGGTGCAGTGGCTCTCAAATCTTTTCACATCTTCGAATCCCATTTTATATCTTGCTTTAATAAATTTCTGGTGGGCCAGCATGTCAAAAGGTCAAGCTGTCATATTTTCTATTCCACCTGCTTGCACAAGCCCAATTACATTTTTTTTAAAAACAGCAATATGTAAAATAATTGAGTGAAGGATCCCTCAGCTTTACACTCAATCACTTGATTGGAGTTGTAAAGAAAAGCAGACTATTTCTGATGCAGTTCACTGACATATGGTGAAAGTAAAAATGGAAACAAATAAAAATTGACCATTGCATAATCGAAACCTATATTTTTTGATTAACGGTATAATGAAATAATTATTGTAGTGTTAATTATAAGGTTTAAAAAAAAAAAAAATTATTGTACACATGCTAATGGGTATGGTGTTGTAAACTACACATGGAAAAAATATGTTGATTATATTCTCATTTAAATATATGTTGATTATATACTTATTTGAATACTCTTAAAACATAGACATCTTAATAATATGCTGTGATATTGTTTTCTAATCAATTAAAAACAGTTGAAGGATTTTTTTCTCATTAATTCAACAAAGGATTCAATATTTTCTCTAATTACAATATGTGGCACAAATCACTAACCAGGCAACAGGAGACAGCTTAAAGCCTGCGTACAATGAGGTTAAGAGCCTTGGGCTAAACAATTATTTACTGACTTGCTAAATTATCATTGAGAACTCATTGAAATTAACTTTTTTTTTTTAAAAAGCAGGCTTCTTTAAACTGCAATAGTTTATTAAACATTAAACAAAAGGGTAGCAAATGCTCCCACGAGTTGTCAGTCATCCTTGGAATTGAGGAATGTGGAAACAAAGAGAGAAAATATGGCCAATGCTCCAATGTATAGACTTTCAACTTTTTTTTATTTTATCAAAATTTTTTTTTTTTTAAAGTCTTTTCTGCGGGTAGGAGTTTTTACTTCCTTCCTCAGCAACGCTAAATTATTTTTTAAGGGTAACATTTTATTTTGTGAAACAAAAAAACATGTACAGCGTCATTAAAAAAAATCAAATTTAAATTTATCTCCTAATCATTTGACTTATAAAAATTATGGTTCATCAAGTTTTATGTCACAAATAGAAGCCACATAACCCCATATGCAAATTCGATTAAAATTACAATAAATACAAAAATTTATGTTATGGTGAAGGTCACTTCAGTGAAACCATAGGGTTAATGTAAATCAACCACTCCGTGACCAAATGGGGACCAAAAAAAAAATAAAATAAAAAAGTCCGGTCTCACTGCGTGTCTGTTAAACAAAAATTATTTTTAAACAATTTGATTTAGAAATCTTTTTAAGGGTTCTCCTTGTCAAGGTTGTGTTCAATAATTATCTTTTAATTTATCATTTTATTCTTTACTAGTTATTGGCTGCCCAACAATGGCGGCCTCAGTGCATAAACTTCCCATCCAAACAGAAGTTTATAATATTCACAGTGAGTGCTACCGAGGAGCCAACCACCTTTCACACCTCATGACATCTGTACCATATTTAAATTGAGACTGTTTCCGTAGACACAAAAGAAAGTACAGCGCAAGTGCTGTATTTTAAAGAATCTCATTTAGTGCTGTTATCCAGAATTTTATTTTTGTGCTATTGCACTACGCACACCTTGAGGATTATATTGACTGAAATTTTAAATGCTAAAAAGCTAAATTTAAAAAATAACTGGTTGTTTGATCTCTTTGCTTAAATCTGATGACATTTATTAAACTACATTGTTTCATGCCATGGTAGAAAGTTTTGACCCAATTGAAGGCCTCTGAGAATGCTGGAGACACTCTTTGGGCAGAAGATTCAAACAACTATCGGCCTATGTGTTATCACCTGTCAGATTTTTTTATCAAATATTAAATTTATTAAAATGCAGGCAAACAGAATAAAAAGTTTTGCACAGCGAGATAAAAGGGTTTAAAATACAGCAAGGCCGTAACCTAGGCTGCACATGAATACAGTGGCCCTCAGGGGTATAGACAGTAAAATATTTTCAAGAAAGAAAAAATTTTTTTTTAAAAACTATCTTTGCCAAAGATCAACATTGTAAGGTGAGCCATGTGAATTGATTTCCATTGGCAACATCAGCTGAATATCAGAAACACATACTAGCACTAAGCCAGCAAGCAAACAACAAGCAGGAGGGATAACTCAGTCAATAGGGCAGTGATTCCCACAGTTGTGCTGGCACCCCCCACCCCTCCTCTTTTTGACTCAAAGGACCTAATTGCTGTAGACAAAATACATGACAAAAACAATATGACAAGAGTTTTAAATTCTGGAATTAGCTGAAGGAACATCCACTAGATGGCTGTGACCAACAGCCAAGAGAACCTCCTAAAGTGATTACTGGCAGTAGCAGTGGAAACAGCAGCTACCAAAGAAACTGATTTCTTGGCAATCAAACAAGAGCAACGTGTTTATAATATGTGCAACTATAACAAATCTACATCTATACTTCCCAGGCAAAACAGAGGGGAAAATTACCACCTAATGAAAAATAGAAAATGTCCCAACTAAACAAATTTAGCAATTTTATAATTTCAAAACCACAAGGAATAGTCAATGTAGAACAACAATGAAAAAAAAGGTAATTTAGCACTTGAAAAATGGATGAATTGTACAAATAAAAACAAGCATTTTTTTTTCATTTTGTAATGAATAATTATTTATTTATTAACCCAAGGGGGAAAATGAAGCTGTGGATCCATGAAGCCGTATCTTCAGGCTGGGACAGGGAGTGTTCAGTTGTGTGCAACAGATTCATATTTCACTCAACAGTTATGATGACCTATGAGAGAATGGATCAACAACCATGTTAACTGCCCCACCAAAACACTGATTAAAAGAGATGTTCCGATCTTGCAGGATGCTGGCCGAAATCCTTGGACTGATATCATCACCAACTTAAGTTTTATGATCTGATAACACAGAGAGAGCTACATTGCGACGTGAGAGAGACACATTGTGATAAGAGAGAGCTACACTGTGATCTGTGAACACTTCAGTTTTTACTTTCAAATTATTATTATTTTTTTTTTTTTGTGTGTAATGGCCGAAAAAGTCCTTTAGCCAAATCGCCCCATTAATTGTTCCGTCTTTTTTTTTAAAAAAAAAAAAAAAAAAAAAAAACTTCTTTTTTTTTTTGATCCAAAACATAACTTGTTTCACTATTTTTCCTACTTCACACGGCTCGAACACAGCTAACCTTTATATCATTCACCAAAATAACAGTTTTAAACATTGACCATTGAATTAAAATTAAAAAAAAAAAGATAACCGAGATTAGCTTTAAATTTGTTAGCGGAAAAGTCCTTTGACCTGTTCAGGCACATTGTTCAGTAGCACACAAAGCCACCATACACATGGCAAGGTTCAGCAACAACACATGCATGGACAATGTGATGATAACGCTGGAGAGAGCCACCTTCCTGCCGTGTGGGGTAGTCTCTATGATGGGTGACAATATCGTCATTGTAACTCTTCTAAATGATGGGTGACTTTACCATCTTTGAAACTCTTCTAAATGATGGGTGACTTTACCGTCTTTGAAACTCTTCTAAATGATGGGTACCTTTACCGTCATTGAAACTCTTCTAAATGATGGGTGACTTAACCGTCTTTGAAACTCTTCTAAATGATGGCTGACTTTACCATCATTCAAACTCTTCTAAATGATGGGTGACTTTACCGTCATTGAAACTCTTCTAAATGATGGCTGACTTTACCATCATTCAAACTCTTCTAAATGATGGCTGACTTTACCGTCATTGAAACTCTTCTAAATGATGGGTGGCTTTACCGTCTTTGAAACTCTTCTAAATGATGGGTGACAATATCATCATTGCAACTCTCCTAAATGATGGGTGACTTTACCGTTCTTCAAACTCTCTACATGCCAAAATTTAATTATTTCTAATGCAGTTTATTCAAACTCAGTACAGATCCATGGCCTCTCCACATGATTTTAAAATGACATAAGTGTAAAGTACATTTTTCTGTCACATGATCAACCCAAACGTTTGAATGGTTCTGTTTAAAGTTACTAGGTTTTTAGTGCCTTATGTCAAATTTGGAAAACCCGACCTACGCATATTGAGAGTTACAGTGACAATATGCTTCCATCATTCATTGATAGGCTGGCATTTACGATGGTTTAGAAAAATAGATTTAGCGTTTCATAGTGTAATGGTCTGTGATGAGGGTAGAGCAAGAACATCAAATACAACTGGGAAATCTTTAAGTGATGACTGTTTTTTTTAAGTTTGCTTCTGTCTTTTTTAAGCTGGGGGTCTGGAGACTTTCGGGGACGTTGGCTGGACTAAGATTTTATCTGGGCTTCAGGTAGAAAGAAGACAGTATTCTAACAGGTAAGATGCCCTTACTTCACCACCACTATATAGAAATGTGTGTGGGTACATTAAATAATGAAGATAGGTGATGCCTATTAACAGACCAGATGCTGGATGCCAATTGACAGATGAGATGATGGATGCCAAATGACAGACCAGATGATGGATGCCGATTGACAGATGAGATGATGGATGCCGAATGACAGACCAGATGATGGATGCCGAATGACAGACCAGATGATGGCTACCAATTGACATAACAGAGGATGGATGTCAAAAGACAGACCAGATGATGGATGCTAAATGACAGAACTGATGATGGATCACAAGTGACAGATCAGATAATACATTTCCAGTGTCACTGAAGCATTAATTTCATAGCTTAAACATTTTTGCTCACCTAGGTTATATCAAACAACCACAGACACACTAATAAATACACAAACGATTTCACGGAGGAGGGGTGGGGGGGGTTATACTGACAACACAGGTTTGTGGCGTTGCCCAGGAGACAACTGCAGCTGAATCTGGTCCTTGGGGTTAGGGTCGTCTTTTTTGGTGTCCTCCTCTATCTCAAGATAATACATTTCCAGTGTCACTGAAGCATTAATTTCATAGCTTAAACATTTTTGCTCACCTAGGTTATATCAAACAACCACAGACACACTAATAAATACACAAACGATTTCACGGAGGAGGTGGGGGGGGGGTTATACTGACAACACAGGTTTGTGGCGTTGCCCAGGAGACAACTGCAGCTGAATCTGGTCCTTGGGGTTAGGGTCGTCTTTTTTGGTGTCCTCCTCTATCTCTGTCCTTGCTTTATTTACAACTGGGTTCTGTGCATAGAGATAAGTGGCCGCGCTGACAATGAAGATGGCCATGACCGTGTAGAGGTCCACAGGAATGCCGAAGATGATCCAGCACAGGACAGCCGTGAACATGAGCTCAAGGGCGCTGGCAAATGTCTTTAGGATGGAGTTGAGGCTCCGCAAAAAGAGGCTGGTCACGATGCCGATGGCTGCGTTGTTGATGATGATGGCCATGACGCCAGGTTGGAGTATTGACATGACACTACTGTGGTGGAAGGCTTCGAGGAACTCTCCTGATTGTTAATGAAATGTAAAAAAAATCTTTGATACAAATCTGGGTTACAGGAATGTAGAGACAGGAGGTGACAAGGGCAGAACTCTTTTGATATGCTACACAAGCAAAATGAAAATTTAAAGGGAAAAAAAAGAAATTAAAAAAAGCAAATTTGATATTTGATTAACAACAAATCTAGCATATCAACTACTCATTATTTTCCTACGTGGATGTGCGACAGATTTTGTTTTTTTAAGGTTACTTTGCAGTACACAAAACAAAAGAACATCATAGCAGTACATCACAAATGAACAGTATAGCAAGTACATCACAAATGAACAGTATAGCAAGTACATCCCAAATGAACAGTATAGCAGCACATCACAAATGAACAGTATAGCAGTACATCACAAATGAACAGTATAGCAAGTACATCACAAATGAACAGTACAGCAAGTACACCACAAATGAACAGTATAGCAAGTACATCACAAATGAACAGTATAGCAGGTACAAAAATCTCTTACCCCTGTAGGCCAGAATAAGCAAATTACATATAATGGAATTAAGGTACATGAAGACATTGGCCATCATGATGTGAACATCAACACCTGTGTCTTTCAGCAGAAACTCATTGTAGACACCCGCAAAACAGGATGAGAACACCTGAATGGATAATGACACAGTTAAGGACAATTTTGTTTTTTGCATCACTGTACAGTGTGCACCAGAAGTAATTTATTTCTTGGATCAGTTAGTTAAACTAGTTAACAGACTTGGAAAAAGTGACTCCCCTGGGTAATCAACAAGTTCCTGTAATATTATTTTTCTTTTGCTCTTTGAACTCCACCTACCCCCAGGTCTTTCCTCGTGTCATTTTTTGTTTAAAAAGGAGCTTTGCCACCATTTTCTTTCGTTCTGTAAAGTAGGGACCTACATATAGTCAGGGCCGCTGTCTTTGGTACAACAGGCAAAGCAGGCAACTGCCCGGAGCGCCTAAATCTAGGGGCCGCCATTTCGATCCCAGACAGACATTTAAATACTAAATTCACGCAAAAATTTGTTTTATTTACATGAAGAATATTGTGCTGCTGATCAACTTGTCTGTGATGTTCTCTTTACAGCCAACATTGTTTAGGTGTGTAACCAGTGGCACGGCTAGGGTATGTGCCGACCGCGGCAGGCAAAGATTTTTGCCGTCTTCCCTTCGAAGAAAAAAACCTCAGAAAGTATACAGAGCATGTCCGTGATATCGATAGCTATCTGGTTGATCCTGCCAGTAGTCATATGCTTGTCTCAAAGATTAAGCCATGCATGTCTAAGTTCACACTGTTTGACGGTGAAACCGCGAATGGCTCATTAAATCAGTCGAGGTTCCTTAGATGACACGATCCTACTTGGATAACTGTGGCAATTCTAGAGCTAATACATGCTTACCAAGCTCCGACCTTTATTGGAAAGAGCGCTTTTATTAGTTCAAAACCAATCGCCGCGTGCGGGGCGACTCNTTTTCAAACTTTATAGTTTAATTTTCTCCTTGAGCGAACTCTGAAATAAATATGCTTCCCTAAACTTAATTTTAGTCCGCTATTTAATCCGTTGGTGCTGCTAGGAGGGATAATACACTGCAGATGACCACTGACCTGAAACATAATGAAGAGCAAGTGAATGTCCAGGTAGTCGGTCACACTGGTTGGCGCTGTGGTCATGGTCTGGGCACTGGACACGTCGTGGCGGATCTCTTTGATGACACATCCCAGGGTCAGTATGAACAGTGAGGCCCACTGTATTCGGCTGAGCTGTTTCTTAAAGATGAGCTGAAAAAAAAACAATGGATATGACTTTGAAGTTGAAGCTGAACTGGGAAGATTTGCCTCCAAAACAGTGCTTCCGTCTTATCCCTGTTATTTAATAAACGTCATCTGGAATCAAAGCTACAACAGCTTTTCCAAGAAAATCCTTTAATAATTCTCTTATTATTGCAATCATATAAAAATTGAGATTTACAAATCTAATCAAAATTAATACATATTTTCATTTTGATACCATCTTCGTCACTCAACTCATGCCCTGAAACACTAACTTGAAAAGCATGCCCAATTACTCCTTTACCCCACCCCCCCCCCAACCCCATGGGACTCACCTGGAATATAACACCTGTGACGACCACCCTGAACTGCAGCAAGAGATAGTATGTGGTCGGGTCATAGGCTGACAGGTTGACAAACTGAAGGTTATTGTAGAGGCAGTAGAGGGCGGCAGGGATGAAATACAAAGACAGAACTGAAACAAGAGGGCATTGGAAGGGCGGATGAGATACTGTTGGAGATTGAACATGACTGTCAACAGCTAAACCAATCAACAAATGTTACATTTTATCTACCCATGTTGCAGTACTACACTGCACAAGACCAGCCCAAAGTAACTTAAAAGGTGGGTCACCAAGACAAAAGCTACAAAAAAGTCATTGCAAATATTTTTTATCTTTGTTATATTTCAAATTTGAATAATTAGTGGACTGGATCTGTCTTTAAACCATTAGTGCAGCGGTTCTCAACCTGTGGATCACGACCCCTTTGGAGATTCCAATGACCCTTACAAAGGTGTCACTTGAGACCACTGGAAAACATATATTTATGAAGTAGCAACGAAAATAATTCTATGGTGGGGGTTGGGTTGGGGGGGGGGGGAGGGTTCCACCACAACATGAGGAACTGGATTTAGGGATCACTGCATTAGGAAGGTTGAGAACCACGGCATTACAAAGTAAAATTACCTTTCCTATGTTTGAACAGGTCAAATTCTATGGTGGGGGTTGGGTTGGGGGGGGGGGAGTGTTCCACCACAACATGAGGAACTGTATTTAAGGATCACTGCATTAGGAAGGTTGAGAACCACTGCATTACAAAGTATAATTACCTTTCCTATGTTTGAACAGGTCCTCAAAAAAGCATTGACATGATTTGCTGCAGATTATATGAATGAATGAATGTAAAAGAAACAACTAGAATAATGGCTAAATGAATGGGGCTAAAATTTAAAACATTTTTTTTTTGGCCATTCTCAACTAAAATTGTGTTTTTCTCCTGCGTTCAAGTTTTAGGGAATAGCTTAATATTTCAAAGTGGCTATTTGTACCCGGGTACCAGAAGTGAGAGGGTGGGATTAAAAAACTATTTAAAATTTTATTGTTGGGTTTGTAAGACAAAATGAGGTATCAAATGAAAGATAATTGAGTGGACTATATGTTTGTAACCTTAATTCTTCAGTTTAACTAAAATAAACTACCACACATGACAAACTGTAAACAACTTCAAACCCCATGTTATGAGATTTTGATGCAGAGGAAAAATGAAATGCATATGCATTAACAGGACAACACCTTTTCTAACCTTAAATAAGTAACTCACTGATATTGCCCAAACCAATGCCCAATTTTTTTTTTAAAATGAGGTTCATTTTAGATGTAAATTCAGAAAGGCTTCATTTAGCACTTTGTTGATTTTTGATACTACGAGTCCTTAACCACAATGGCAGATCCTTAACCACAAAGACAGGTCCTTAACCACAAAGACAAGTCCTTAACCACAATGACAGGTCCTTAACCACAACAACAGGTCCTTAACCACAAAGACAGGGCCTTAACCACAACTACAGGTCCTTAACCGTGACAGGTCCTTAACCACAATGACAGGTCCTTAACCACACCAACGGGTCCTTAACCACAAAGACAGGGCCTTAACCACAACAACAGGTCCTTAACCACAACAACAGGTCCTTAACCACAACAACAGGTCCTTAACCACAACAACAGGTCCTTAACCGTGACAGGTCCTTAACCACAACAACAGGTCCTTAACCACAACGCAGTAGATATTAAGTTTGGATTCATGGGTTAAATTTGTAAATCATAAAAATTTTTAAAAGAAGCAGCTAAAGAGCACAATGCAAGGAAATGCAAAGAAAATTCACCCTGGTAAATTTTGCAATTAAAATACCAATTTCTGTAATTTCCCATTCTAGTTAATAAAGGTCCTTATGTGCCCCTCAGCAAACTAAACCCCCTCTAATGCTGATTGAGAGCCACCTTTGCTAAAGAGAGATATACGTAAAACGTGTCCTGTTTCCTTACTCTTTTATAAATAGCACAGCCGCTGCCACAAGTTTGAGAACCTCTGTCAGTAAAACAACTGTGACAGTATTGTAGCTGTAACTGTTATCCTTGGACTTGCTTGCCGTCACTAAAATACCTGAGAAAAAAAAAAAGGGTTATATTTAGATGCAAAGCCTGTGCCCGGGTTCCAGGCTGAGGACTCTTATTTTTTTAAGTTTTGAGTTTTATCCTGCATATCCTGTTTTCACTAAACTTGGGCTCCACCTTCTCCTTTATAATTATATTTGCCCACTAAGTGAGAACTTCTAAAAAAAAAATCAATATCTGAAGTCCCCACCATTAATTGGTAGGCCCTCACTAATTCTCAATTTAAGATTGACTCCATTAGGAAGCCCAGCCCAGCTGATGCATACTATTTTAATTTATAAAAACATTTGACTTTTAAACATTTTTATACCTATTATTAGCTATAAATAGATTTATTTAAGGACAGAGCATGACATTTTAACAATTTGCTAAATTCACACAAAATTATTATTTTTTTAAAATTGAAATATAGAACAGGGACAAGAACAACACATGATAAGTCATTCCACATAATTTTGCATAAGTGGTGTAAAGTCTTAAAACCGGTATGATGATAACTTATCAAAATACATAATTCCCTCGGATGACGTCGCAGTCGAATGATGCTACAGACGCTTTCACTAAAAGGTTTATTCTATGGGGAGAAGGTCACCAGGGCCTCATGTCAAAGAAAGCAGTGAACACTTCTGAATCGGTTCAACCCATAAAGAAGGATAATCCCATGCACTGACAGTGCTGGTAATGCAGAGATAGTGTCAGTGTGGTTGGCCCAGAAACCCTGGATTAGATAATTTAAGCTTATAAGCTGGCTTTAGAAATGAATAGTGCAACAGCTTGCTTTGGTCCGTAAAATGGGGGGGTTCCATAAATATTTATTTGTATGGGAATTAAGAGAGACAATTGGTAAAATAAAAGACGTGGAATTTCTTTAAATTTTTGGCTCTTTTGAAGAGTATACATTTGTGTACACACCTTACCTTTCAGGGGTTGAGAGATTTTACTTTAGAATATTGCCAGCTGAATTTTAATAGTGGTTCATTCCTGTATAAGTTTGAGGCCTGTATAAGAACTGTATGATATGGCCTGTATGATATGACCTGTGTGATATGACCTTTATATGGCCTGTGTGATATGGCCTGTATGACGTGGCCTGCATAAGGTGGCAAATATGATGTGGAAAATATGATGTGGGCTGTATGACATGGCCTGCATAATGTGGCCTGTATGACATGACCTTTATCACATGGCCTGCATTACATGGCCTGTATAATGTGGCCTGTATGATGTGACCTGTATGATATGGCCTGTATGATTTGGCCTGCATAATGTGGCACATATGATGTGGCCAGTATGACGTGGCCTGCATAATCGATACAAATGCTGTTGCAAAGTGGACAAATATAAACCCAACAGAAGTTCAAATAGGGCTTTCTAAAATAACATTAAAAATCCCCACAATCTTCATTGACTAATTTAACGCAGGACAACATCAGTTAACGTTTATCCTGCTAACATCTGGGTTGGGATTACGCTCAGTGGTTGAATGTAAATATGCCATGCCCACATGTTGCCCTGAGTAAACTATTCTTTATCTCACGCTTTTCTCACTCACTCCCTCTTCAACCCCCATAAGAAGTCGTGTAGAGAGGGGGGGATATTTCTATAAGGCAGTCATAAAACTTGACAAACAGGTACATGGTATTTTAAAAAGTAGTGCAGCTATCATGTTACATGAAGCAAAGATATCAGATTGTTATTCTGGATGTCCCACTTAATTGAAAAAAACACAACTGAATAAGGGCATGTACCCTCCTTGCAAAAGTTTGGTATCTGTGGATTTAAGGGGAGAGGTGGTGGTATTAATTGGGCTAAAATATGCAAGCATCTGTAATGGCTGTTGGTGTGTTTGGTTGTGTAATGTACACAGCTCAAACCCTAACCCAGGAGCCAGAATGATCAATACATCGATCGTGGGCCCTCAAAATAGAGAAGAAGAAGAGGAACCCTAAATACCTGATTTGAAGTTCCCCAAGCTCATAAAAATAAACACATCTCATCAATAGTTTAGCATCTTAATTAAAAGAAATGAACTCTTTAAGTTTTCGGTTCCCTTGATCCTCCTCCCCGATGCTCTCTAAACAATCATTTTGAGATTGCATCAAATGAACTAAACGAAAAGACCACCAAGTGGAACACTGCGACCGCTCCAAATCTCAGGCTCAAAAAAACAACAACAAAAATGTGAGAAAGATGAGGTTTGCTCAAGGTTTGTTCATAATTCTAGACTTAAAATACACCCGGCTGATCTAGACTTAAAATACACCCTGCTAATCTAGACTTAAAATGCACCCTGCTAATCTAGACTTAAAATGCATTCTGCTAATCTAGACTTAAAATACACCCTGCTAATCTAGACTTAAAATACACCCTGCTAATCTAGACTTAAAATGCATTCTGCTAATCTAGACTTAAAATACACCCTGCTAATCTAGACTTAAAATACACCCTGCTAATCTAGACATAAAATGCACCCGGCTGATCTAGACTTAAAATACACCCTGCTAATCTAGACTTAAAATACACCCTGCTAATCTAGACTTAAAATACACCCTGCTAATCTAGACTTAAAATGCACCCTGCTAATCTAGACTTAAAATACACCCTGCTGATCTAGACTTAAAATACACTCTGCTAATCTAGACTTAAAATGCACCCGGCTGATTTAGACTTATAATACACCCTGCTGATTTCATTCTGGCCAAAGAAAGCCTTCACAACCAACTGCTGGGAGGTGCAACAGGTTGCCTTTTACCTGATTTTTTTTTTTTAAGTAGGCATCATTTGTAAGTTCATTTGAAAAAAAAAATCAATTTTAAAAAATCCATCAACAAAGTTTAAGATACAGTTTCCGATCTCCCAGTGACTTATAATGGGCGACCGTAAACGCGTCCATCACCAGATGTATAAAAATCAATACCTTGACAGCCCGCCAAACACTCAGTGCAGTAAGCATTAATTTAATGCACATAAAAATCTTGATGAACGGGTGTCCGTAGCATAAAATGCCTATCATAACAATCTAATGTAAATGTATTTTAAAAAATCAGTGCTATTTTCTTCTATTCATCTTTTGATAGCATTGCTTAGCATTCATTTTATAGGCTTTATCAACCAAGGAAAGGGTTAATGTCCGAGTATCTAAATATGGGCAACTTGTCTCAATACAAGCAACTTATTTACATAAGTCAACTTATTTACATTAGGACAAATTATCTCATTATGGGCAACTTTTCTACATATGGGCAACTTATCTTATTATGGGTAACTTATCTAAATATGGGCAACTTATAAACATATGGGCAACTTATCTACATATTGGCAGCCTATCTAAATATGGGCAAATTACCTAATAGTGGGCAACTTATCTAATTGTTGGCAAAATGTGTAAAATATGGGCAACAACTTATCTTAGCATGGGAAAGTTCATCAAATTCAAAATTCTAAGTTGTGATCATCAGCAAACAATTGATTGAACCTCTACCAGCTCCTTAATGGAAAATACATGAGGGACTGGGTCCAAGCCATGCAATGTAAATAAATAGCAAAACAAGCTGCTTGGACAAGAAATTGTTCTCACTGCAATCAAGCATCAGTAAAATGTTGAATAAAGATATAACATTGTCATTTTTTCCCCCCCTACTTTTAAATTTATTTCGAACCATGTCTGAAATTATTTGCAAAACCGACCTAAAGAAAGGACGAGCGGTTGTTTTGCAATCAATTGCAACATTGAAGAGGAAAACATTTTTTTTTTTAAAATCCAGATTTATTATTAAGCATACACGAGGCCATGAGTAAATAGGAAGGCAGGGCCAATGGCTATCTGCTGTGGTGGATGACAAAGGTCATGTGATTTTATTTAATTGCATAGCAATTGACTTTCTTTTAAAATTTGAATGTCATATTATTCATATAAAATTAAAGTGTGTCTTTTCAGCTGTGATGCCAGGGGTGTTATCCTCATTAATTGATATTAACACTAGTAATTTATGGAACAACGAAAAACTTTTTCTAAAAGCTGAAATCAATAAGATCATTGCCAGTGTCTTTGAATGAAATCATGGATTAAAAGTGAAACTGCACTGTTTTTATCTTTTTGACTCTTGGCTATAAAATTGCTGAATTGTTTCTGTCAAAGTTTTAAGTGCACCAATAGATGGCTTATTCAGGCCAACACATGCCCTTTTTTAAAACCATGAAACATATTATTATGGAAATTTGATTATTTCATACAAAATGCACATAATATTTTTAACTTTCCAGTTATTCTACACAAATGAAGCTCCTTTTGTGAGACTTTTGAGAGCAGGAACAATCCTGAATAAGGTATAAACAAATATTGTCTTCATGTGCGCATCCCATCTTCTTTTGTATATTCAATGTAAAATATATCAGCTCACTCTTTACTTAAGGATCTCTGGACAGCAATCTATGCAACTGCAAGAAAGTTGGTCACAACAAGAGGAAATGACGACCATGCTGATCATTCAATTTTTTCATCATGTTATCCTTTATAACTTTTCTCATATATGGACCATCAAAGCTTCCCACCTTCAGCTTCTCTATTGTAAGTCCAGATAACCAATTTACTCTGCATGGAATTCATGAATCGTCTTTATTTAAGCCTTTCATAAAAAAATTCATCCGTGGGGTAATGTGACTTATATCAGAGGATGACTCTCGTATGAATTATCACCTGCTCATGATAGGGGTTTTAGTTATAGATGCAAATCAACCACAAAGGAGTGTATTCTCATTTGTATGCACTTACATGTAATAACTGAAAAGAAATTCGAATGAAATGAACCTATTTATTTATATCCATTTACAAAACGTAATAGAAATCAAAGTCTTACAATAGTGGCAAATCAAATAAATAGCCGAATAGCTATTTTTTTGACTAATTCAGAAAGGTTTGCCACAAAATTTGTAGACCATGAATGTAGCATTTAAACTATAAATATTTATGTAGGCCTATATTTAATTCTTTAGACTTAGACTCTTTAGAACAGTCACAGAGTAGGCTAGGGCTGTATATGAATCAATATACATTTAATTAAGTGTGAAGAAGCCTATTTAAATTAACTTTACCACTATAAATGTAATACAAGGTGTGTTACTAAAATGACCAACATGAGTAGATCTAATCAAAGCTAATGTTTATTATTATTCTATTTAATAAACGAAGTATTTTGATTGGGCCTAGGGATCATTTAATTTTGTAGCAAAAATCCTACAGACTGGTGGACTGGAGAACTCTCCTGTCTTTTTTTAACCATTTGCTGAATTGTATAGACTAGACAACTGTTCTCCAAATGCTGATCTGCGTACCTGCACCAGTCTGTGAGCCTTACGTTGCTGATCCACACAACATGAATATTATGGTTAAATAAAAATAAAATATAATTAATAAATCTACCACCGGTACCTGGTGCAATTTCGAAACTTGTCCACCGGTCCACAAAACTTAAAAGTAAAAGTATGGCTATAGACTTAGACTATAGACTATAGTCTAATTAGACAATAGAGTATGGGAAACCCTGTTCTAGATTTTAAAGTTCAAGTCAAAAGTCTTTCAATTTTTTCAAAATCTCAAATTTTGTGTAAGTGTAAGCAGTGAGTGTCAGGCTTCATAGATAAAATTTTAATTAAACTGGTAGCAAAAAAAAAAAAAGGCCTAGTCCTAAAAACGTAATAAGTTCGCCTAAATGGCTAGACCTAATACTAATACTAATACTAATTACTACTAATAATTTGTAATTAAAATTATAGTAACCCTAAGTAGCAAAGAATTAGAATTAGTCAGTCAGGTGACTAGTACTAGTACCGGTAGTAAAAAAAAAAAAAAATTAGTATTAGCTAGTACTAGTAACTAGACAGGCACCTAGGCCTCACTAACTTAACTAGGTGGGTATGTGAAGGTGCCTTGGCCTTATATATTATCATCTTGTATTGTCCTGTAGTGACAGTAGACAGAGGATTGAGTGGACAGTGCGAAGGTCTGTAATTAGTAACTCAGTGCCAATAGCACTAACTTATTAATTAGGTTAAACTAAGACTAAGTTAATAACTGAATAACTATTTAACTGATAAAATTATTAATAAATTGGTTCTCACCTTGATTAATAAACAGCCCCATATACGAAATAAAAACAACAAAACTAATTTTTGTCGGGAATAGATCAGCTGAAAATAGTCCCATTTTCTATATAATATAATGTAGAGTTAATAATGAAATATGAAAAAAAAAAAAAACTTGTAAAGACAGTTAGGGTTGCCAAGTAGCAAAAATGTCGTTTGTGTTTAGTGTTTATACTCTTCAGCACCATCTCAAAGAAAACCGAGTGCTCTCCCTGTTATTTCCGATCTTTTAAGGTCAACTACTCGAATCGAATTTGAAGTTCGTTAAATATAATAAAATACACTTTTTTATTATTTATATTAATTTAAAATTTGACATTTTAAAAAAAATCATACTTTAACTTCTCTATTTTAATTAAAGAGCTTTAGGGGCATCCCGCATTATTTCAGAAAAACGCTTCTTTCAGGTCAAGGCCATTGAAATGGTAAAACAACATGGCTGATGGAAACAGGAAAAGCGATTCTGGCAAAGAAAATATTGATAGATCTCACTCTATACCTGAAATTGGTGAACATTATTTAGTGAAAAGATCAGATAATTCTCTACATGCAGCAGAAATCATTCAAATTCGACAGAATGAAACTGGAACACAAGAACTATATGTACACTATGAGGGTTTCGATCGTCGCTTGGATGAATGGGTTGATTTGGACAGGTAGGCTGCTAAGTCAAAGTCCCTTAGTCCTAAGTAGTTAGTTACTAAACTAGAACTTAGAAGACCTACAGAAAAATAAAACAAAATTATTTTAGCCTACTCCTTTCAGAATATAAAGAATAAATAAATGATATTTGTGTCATAAGGATAGGATTGATTGGGTCAATGAACTCGTCACTACACTACACTGAATTACTTGAATTAGTCTTAGTCATTAGTACTAGTACACAGTGTGAATTATTATCAATATTAGGTATTTTGAAAGACGCACGCGCATCCCTTCTGCGCAGTCGAAAAATCACGGAAAAACTTTTGTGGCCATTTCCTAATTGGCTCTGTGGTGTACTCGGATTTTTGCGTTCTACGTCACAGTTTTCTAATTATACATTTGTTTTGTTATCGATTACTCAATATTGACAATATAAATGTAATATAAGCCTAATAAAAATTCAAACAGTAGGCCACAATTACTTTTTAAAAACTTGACAAGTTAATCAACAAGTTCACGGGACTTCTAACTTATTACAATTACAGTATTTATGGGTATTTGGTGTTCATTTGACATTATTAAAATTATTAGTTGTATTAGTTCTGCCTGGTAGGTACTTTAGTTTTAAAAAATTTAAAAATTATCAAAGTAGTGTAGAGCAAACTTTAAATTTTAAAAATGAAACCAAAATTAACTTTCTTTCTTTGGTTTTAGTAGTTTGTGAGGTATGAATCTTTAAAGTATGACTTTGTTTGTCCTTTTTTAACATGACATGGACCTAGGTACTTTTATTTTATAAGAAAATTAAAACTTTTTGTAAAATTAAACCAATGGCATAGTTGAATAGAGCTAATTTTGTAAAAGAATTATAACACCAAAATCATATTTTTAGCTGTTGTAGTTTTAAACTTATGAATTTTTAAAGTACAACTTAGTTTGTCATTTTTTAACATGGACTGCATCTCCACATTCCGCTGTTCGCGTCTCGAGCTATATAACTCGTTTTAATGATAATTTTATGCGACTTTTATAATCAGAACTAATGCTGTATTAACAAATAATGTTAATAATGTTATACAATTATATATAAATTATAGTTTATCTAACTATGCACTATGTATAACAATATATTTAAATAAATATATGGCTTTTCTGTTTACCAAATCTACAGCGTCCATCAATGGTACATGCTATATACTCTATATAAGGCAACGCACCCCCTAAAATATTGTTTGGGATCTACTTATTTTAAACTTTCAACTTTGGCACATGACTAATTAACGAAAGCTTTCCTTGACCAATGGTGTTAATAGTTTTTGCACACGGCAAACTCTTATGAATGAAACTTGAGGTAGTACTAGGGCATAGCATTATGCAAATGCCTGTGAATGGTTTCCCATGACTTTTTGCACACTGTCAATTCTGATCGTTAATAATATGGACTCTACCGGGTTTTTAAAGCTCAAATTTAAACATTCTAGTATAAATGTCTTCAAAATGCATTCCTAAACACAAGTTATCAAATTAATATTTTGATGTATATAGAGGTAATAATGAATATTTCCTAAGCTAAGTATTGGCATTTTCCGCCATTTAAAAGGGGGCGGGATCACTAATCCAATATGGCCTGTGCGACCTTTGCATAATGAGGTCAACGTTGAGGAGAATTGTGAAAATGTTTCATGTGCTATCCCAATGAAATTTTGCACACGTGTACTTAAACAAATTATGCAGGCCTACTTTTAATATGAAAGACCTACTTTGAATATTTAGACCAAATTTTTTAATGCGAAGTTGCCTTATACTATACTGACATACAATTTTCCTCACTTAAAGTTGAGATAAAGAACAAATTAACTCAATGGGAATGTAGTTCAACATTTTTCCTAACGTTAATGGGCGGAGTGAAACCTTAATTATGGGCCTAAAGGACTCCTAATTTATTCAAATTACATGCACATGAAAAAATTAAAAACTCAGATTCTATTGCACAGACGCCCATTTCCGATTACAAATTTACTAGGAGTGTCCGTTGCTTCGGCGGAGTATCTACATGGACCGCATCTCCACACTCTGTGACGCGTCATGAGCTATATAACTCTAATTTTAATTATGATTTTATACTACTTTTATTTTGAAAACTAATGCTGTATTAAAAAATAATTCTAATAATGTTATAAAATTATACATAAATTGTAGATTATCTAACTATGCACTATGTTAGGTATATCGGTAAATTTTATATAATGTATAATATATGCAATTTCTGTTTACCAAATCTACTGTGTCCATTATACCGGTATTTGCTATATAGTCTATATAAGGCAATGCATCCCCTTATTACTAAAATACTCTTTGGAGACTAATTATTTTGAACTTCAACTTTGGCTTAAGACTAATTAATTAAGGCTTTCCTGACCAATGGTTTAATAGTTTTTGCACATGGCAAACTCTTGAATGAAACTCTGAGGTAGTACTGCGGTATAGCCATTTTGCGAGTGGCTGTGAATTGTTGCACGGAAAATTCTGATCACTTATAATATGGACTCTACCAGGTTTTTAAAGCTCAAATTAAAATATTCCAGATTAAATGTTTTCAAAATGCATTCTGAAACACAAGTTATCAAATATTTTTATGTATATAGGGGTAATAATTGAATATTTCCTAAGCTAAGTATCAGCGCCTTCCGCCATTTTAAACTTGCCTTGTCACCAATCCAAAATGGCCTGTGCGACCTTTGCATAATCAGGTCTATGTAGAGAATTGTGAAAATGTTTCATGAGCTAGCGCAATTAAATTTTGCACACGTATACCTCAATATATTGTGCTGACATACAATTAGCATGAAAGACATACTTTTAATATTTCATTTTGAAAGATGCCTTATATTGACATATGATATTCTTCACTTAGAGTTGATGTAAAAGGCAAAAAAAATAAATGGGAATGTATGTCAACATGTCTCCTAATGTGAATGGGTGAAGTCAGACCTTAATTATGGGCCAAAAGGACTCCTGTATCATTAAAATTAAACTCGCTAAAAAAAAAAGAAAACTTTGCGCTGACGCCCATTTCCATAAAAAATGTTTTAGGAGTCTCCCTTGCTTTACCGAAGTGCCTAGGAAGAGGCAATCAAAAACTCTAAATAATTAGCATTACTGCGGCTGTGTCCAATCACATTTTTACTGATTTTTTAATATTTTTTTTATTGATTTCAACTTTTGGTAGGTTGGATCTAACTACAAAATTTGAAGATCCACAAAGCAAAAGTGGTGAGCTAACCATATCACTAACAGACTTCACTGATGGTACGGATCGTAAAATTACAAGGAATCAAAAACGTAAACATGATGAAATCAATCATGTCCAAAAGACTTTTGCTGAGATGGATCCCACTACAGCAGCACTTGAAAAAGAACATGAAGCTATTACTAAGGTAGGTGTTTCAATACTTTACCAGGCACCTTTCTGCATATACTGAAAAGTTATGTAGTATTGACATGCTTTCGACATGTGTTTTATGTTGACCTCTGTTAATTTACCATTTTGGCAGAAATTTTTATAGATGGATTTTTATTATCAATGATATAAAGTGGATTCCCTTTGCTTCATATGTAAAAGCAATTTAAAGATATAAATGTTAATAGCTCAAATATTTCTAAGGCTACCGTTACTACCGAAGCTTTCCCCCTTTTTTTCTATTTGTTAAGTTCATTAGGACCTAATGCTACTGGCAGTAGCACTGTGCTGTGTACTGTTGTAGTGTTTACTAAATTTAGATCTTAACATATAATATTTGGTCATAATTATCCAAATTTATCTGTTATAATTAAAGCATATGATAGCCATTAAAGAAAACAACGCTCTCTTTAAAATAAATCACTGTAGGCCAAGGCTAAGCATGGCGAAACACTGCTAAAATTAATATTTTTTTTGTGCAAATCATGTCATTCTCAGACTTGTTTAAAATACAATAAATGTGATTTTCTTCTTCCTTTTTTTTTTGGTTTACATAAATTTTTTTTTCAGGGTTTTATGAAGTTACCCTCTAATATAATTATCCACACAAACTTAAAATTATGTAAAAGCTGTATTGTTCATAAGTCCCTAACTGAGATATTTTGTCTCTTCCAATAAAATATTGACTAGATCAAAGTTAGCCAACATTTTCTAACACCCCCCCCCCCTCCTCCCCTCAATGAATTGATAAACGTCTTGCATCCCTCTATATTAATTGTTTGACTATGTCTTGCACCTCCTAGTTAAGTCACAACAATTTTGAAATTAGAAGGAAAAAAATGGTTTTATAATTTTTTTTATTGCATTAAAAATAGAATGTTACAAAATTAACAAATTACAAAATTATTGCATTTAAAAATGCTAATTAAGAAAATTTTAAAAATATATATATAAACCATTAATATCTTAACTCAAAAGTGAATGCCTACTCTATTCTTACTATCAATTTTCCTCGCGCCCCCTAAAATGCCACTTGGCACCCCAGTTTGGGAAAGCCTGATCTAAATAAACATTTTCCCCACATCGCATTCACCATATTAAAATATTTTTATCATGGTTGGACCTTTATTAAAGAAATGGCATAAAAGATTTTTTTTAAAGTAAAAATAAAGTTTCAAGCGTGTTCAGTTTTCCTTCAAATGGTGCAGTTAGACTAAAAATGTTGTTTGCATCACACAAATGATAAGCCTGATGTTGAAATTGTTGTTTTTTATGATTCCTTGTAATTTAAAAAAAAAATTAAATGCAAATTACTGCCGACCTGTTTACCCCTATGATTTTGCTGTAGTATCTACAATTCTAGACCCAAGACTATGTCATGCCTACTTAACTGCTGTACCTGGAGTTGTATTTTTATGAATACATTTGTGTCCAAATTTATTTTTTTTAAATGGGGGATTTTCAGTAAAAGGTTACCATATTTTTTTCTTAAAGACTGTAAGCAATCAAAAAAGAATGACAATTAGTGTGGACTTTCAGACACAGCTTTTTTTTATTGTTCTCACCCTCTTTCCCCACCCCATCCTTGCAAATTGACCAAATTAATTACTCTTAGGAGCTAGAAACTTGTGTTTGAGAGCTGAAAAATACTCTCACACTAATCTATGGGTAAACAGGTCGGTTGCTATAACTATTATTATCATCTCTTTATTACCCTTAATAATTCATATGAAAACATATTTCAGGTCAAATACATTGACAAAATTCAGTTTGGGAAGTATGAAATTGATGCTTGGTATTTCTCACCATACCCTGAAGAATATGGCAAACAACCTAAGCTGTGGATCTGTGAGTTTTGTCTCAAGTACATGAAGCTAGAGAAATCGTTTCGCTATCATCAGTCACAGTGTACATGGAGACACCCCCCTGGGAAAGAAATATATCGCAAGGTCTGCTTTAACCTAATTGACCTTAGTAGTGTCTCAGCCTAATAATTATCTGAATTCAGGTTCATAGTAATATAGATGGTATTACTATTTTTTAATATTTTAAAAGGTTCTATAACCTAATATTTAACCCTCTACTGCCGCTTTGTATCCTCCCAGATTCCCTCATGCTACTATTGCTGAGTTTTTTTTAGCCAGATACACATGGTTGCAATTATATGCTCATTCAGGACGCCTAGCTACGCCATACAACTGCTAAAATTAACTGCTATTCACACAAATTCGTGTTCTTACATAAAAAAGTTATGAAAGATCAAAGTTTAGCGTGGCTTTCTAAGTTTTGATGAGAGTTTTAAGATGATAAAAGATAATGCCAGTGGTCAGAGTGATGAGAGGTGAATTTTTTAAAATTGTACTGTACTGATATTCGATTTCAGAAGTTAAAATGAGAAGTTTTCCTCTAAATCAGCCTTCCCCAATTGGTGGTCGCCAGACCGGCACTGGTCCGCAAGCTTTACGTTTGCCTGGTCTGCACAACATTGGTCAAGAAATAAGTTTGAGTCTTGTTTCAAAACAAACTTATGAACGAAAGTCTTTGGTATAAAAATAGCCTACGTTTTACCAGAAGCTGACGCTATTTACCAGAATAAAATTTTATATACATATGAAACCTATCAATTAAAACACACGAACAAGGCCAAACCCATTTCATTAACATTTCTTTGCACCACAAGATCATTTCCCTGAACTGGCAACCCAAAGTAGTGTTTCAACCGAGAAAAGGAGAATGCCTGCAACATGAAAGGGAAACACATCTTAACATGTACTCGCTGGCTTTAAATTGAATGCTACTTATTTAGATCTTGCAAGGAATATAATTCTGTTCAAATTTTAATTTAGGACATGATACAATCTATCGATTGATATATAGTTTATGACTTCATGTTTTATGTGTATATAATTTTTAAATATTTAAAATTAAAATTAGGTTTCTTAATGCAGTTATGCCCATTTCAGACCTGTTTACTCAATGATTTTGGCTTACAGTGTACGATTTTGATGTCTTTTACGATTGTACGTCGAGACCCGTCAGAACAAAATATATACATTCCGTAGTTTTTGCAGATTAAAAAAATAATTAATTATAAAGTGCATCTTTGTGTATTAGTTTTAATTTGCATTTTAAATCTAACAACGAATGGTACGAGAAATACGATTGGTTGCGGACCATCTATATGTATATTACGTTTGTCCTGAGAGGGGAATGGACTGGTGTTGGTTTGGAGATTTTTTAAGTTAAGGGTGGGTTCTAAATATGTAATTATCTTAAATTTAACAACGCCACATTTTCGTATGATGGTGTGTGTGGGAGGGGGTCGTCTCATCAGTAAGTACATAAGTTATTAACTAATTCGACAATATTCATCCTGAAAGTGAACATTCAAAAATAGCATATTTAGTTTTAGGGCAAAGTTTTGTAGTAAATATTGCCATATATTTTCACAAATGAACTGGCTAGATACACTCAAGTACTCAGTAGTAGAGGTTTTACAGTAATATTTAGTCCACTGTCTTCAACATGCTTGTGACATATATTTTGTTGGACAACGCCAGTGGTTTTAAAATGTTCGATTCCCAGGGCCTCTGTCAAATTTATGTGTTCACCAGGTGAGGCAGCCGCAGCAACACATATAGAAAAATGTGCACCCTCCGGGGCGTACCAGTAAAAGGAATATTTTTAGTGCCCCCTTGTCTTTATGAAGTAAATGAGAATTGTTAGTTTAATTTGCTATAAAGGTCGTTCCTAAAGATGATTTTCGTGCCCGTTGCTCCTAGTCTCATTCTCATGGCCCTGCCGTGCTATATGACGTAATTTTGTGACAATTATTTCTTACAGCTGAACCGCGGCTGGCGAGTGCAGAAACGGAGAAAACTAGAGAATACATTTATTAGATTTCGACATATTTTATAGGATCTGAGGGGGCCTTTGAAATCTATTTTAGATCACGCTGAACAGCTGTACAATTTTTAATACCCCTTTTCCTTTCACCCATTTACAACTTGTGATAGTTATCAGACTGTAATATTTTAACAGGAAATAAGCATAATGGATATTGATTCTTATTAATTTTTAAAAAAATATATAATATATATTTCCCTAAAAATTAAATTTCAAGTTTCTTGGTAGTTTTTTTTTTTAAATTCGTTAATTATTTCTTATCTTTATAAATTTTATTTATGCTGATCAAAATTCCAGTTTGAACCACGTTAAATTTCAACAGTCACCAGTAACTTTATTTTTACCAGTGACAGACTGTGATAATGTGATCTGCACGTTCAACTAATATTAATTAATATCTATAGCAGATGCACATCTTCAAATCAAAGTGACCAGTTGTCTACTTTTAGAAGTTACTTTTCTTTTTTTTTTACGTCAGCTTACTCAATTTCACTAGACACACGATGCGAGTCGTTATTGTATAATGTAAACATCATATAAACGGTATGTTGAATTATTTTCTGTTCGATACTGTATTGTACGATTTGAGACGATATTGTAAGATTTTTGGAGTTCGAGAGTAAACAGGTTTGCCATTTGTTTATACATATGAAAGAGAATCTCCACCAACAGTTGGTTTAGACAGGAGTCGGTTAGTACAAAATTAATTAATTGATCAATTTATAACTTCCCGTGTCGAATCTGATAGATGGGTTCTCATATAATTTTAAGTTTATGGGACTTCCTATTTTATTCATTATGGTACTATTCAAAATTCAGTTAAACATTCATAAATGTAACTATTTTAAAAATATCACATACCAGTGCTTATCAACTTCATTGATTTTCTTTATCAGGGAACAATATCAGTGTTTGAAGTGGATGGTAAAGACTGGAAAATATATTGCCAAAATCTTTGTCTGTTGGCCAAACTGTTTCTGGATCACAAGACTTTATATTTTGATGTTGAGCCCTTCATGTTCTACATTCTTGTGGAAGTTGATCGTTATGGCTGCCACCTTGTAGGGTACTTCTCCAAGGAGAAAGAATCTCCTGACGGCAATAACCTGGCCTGTATTTTGACATTACCGCCACACCAGCGCAAGGGATATGGGAAATTTCTTATTGCTCTAAGCTATGAGTTGTCTGTCATTGAGGGTGTTGTTGGTTCCCCAGAGAAACCACTCTCAGACCTCGGTAAACTTAGCTATCGCAGCTACTGGACCTCGGTACTCTTGGAGTGCATTTACAAGATGGGAGTGAAGGTCAGCATGAGAGATTTAGAAAAGATGACTTCCATATCGTACAATGACGTTGTCAGCACGCTGCAGTCCCTGAATCTCATCAAGTACTGGAAAGGAAATCATATTTTGTGTGTAACCCCAAAACTTATCGAGGAGCTGTACCAAAAAATCTGCAAAAGACCAAATCTGACAGTTGATCCAACGTGCCTTAGGTGGGAGAAACCTGTGTGCAAGCCTCCTGCAAAAGTTGCCAAGCGTTGAGTTCCATGAGCACTGGTGGGTGAAATTATTTTCTAAATAATCTGATCTAAATTTAAATATTTCATAGTAAAAAAAAAGTCAACAAATATGCATTTTTCTCTAAAAAGTCAAGCAGTATGCATTTTTCTCTATAGCATGTACAGTTGAAATAAAATAAAATATTTTCTGCATATACCAGGTCATCGGTATTTACGATGTTCCGTTATAGTACCATCATTATTTATTTTATTTTTTTACTTTTTAGTTAATTTTACATTTTAGTCAAAGTAGCACCACCAAAAATTGTGTGCCATTTATAGTAAAATGAATACAGGTACCGGTATATAACTGTCATAACCTTGGACATTTAAAAATTATTATTTTTATTGTTTCTCCTTCAAGTTTGATCAAATCTCAAAGATGGTCCACCTCGGGATATCTGGGAATATATGAACAACCTTTATCCACAAATTTGTGACACATCTGCACCTTAACAACAACCTATATGCCCAAGAAACAGACTGTAAATTTTAGGCTCTAACAGAAATGAGCTCATGGGTTCTAGTTATATGTCAGATTGTTCTCCTTTAATTCTGCTGAACAACCTTTATCCACAAATTTGCCACTCATCTGCACCTTAACAACAACCTAGATGCCTAAGAAACAGACCATAAATTTTAGGCTCTAACAGCAATGAGCTCATGGGTTATAGTTATATGTCAGATAGTTCTCCTTTAGTTCTGCTTCTGACTCTGACCAATGTGGGCGTCAACTGAAGCATGTGTAAATCAATCATTTGAAATAAAGCCTGCTGTGTTTTTAGCTTACTTCTGTATGAAGAAAAGGTAACATGATTGAGGGTCATGTAAATTACACAGTCTGAAGTCATTTCATTGTAAGAGTTAAATTGAGCACCTTTAACAATTTCCTTTGTTAGTCAGTACTAGTGCAGTTCATGACATGTGTCAGCTGGCTAGCAATGGTATATCACCTGAGTGTCCAACAGTTGTATATCACCTGTGTGCCTAGCTATATGTCCCTCTGCAGGTACCTACATAAAGAAAACTTGATACTGAGCAAAAGAAAATTGACTTAGCAGATAAAAGTTATATTTGAAATGTACAGCAATTTTATAATTATCTAAAATACTGAAAATTATTGTTTAAAAATTGGGAACCCTTTAGCTAATTACTTTATTCTTATTCTAATCCAGCATTGGTTTAAATTTAAAGTAACTTACTTACTATTACCAGTGTATTTGAAAATAATTGTTCATCTTATTCTGAAAGTATTTTGTGCTGTCTAATAATTTTAGTCTGAGAAATAAAGGTGATAGTAATGGAATAAGGAAGAGAATAGTTTTCATTTTTGTTTGACTAATTTCTTGACTAATATGGAGCATTTTAAAATCTGTGGAAAAAAATAAATATATAAACTTTTTTTCTTTCTAAAACTTGGTCTTTTCTTTAAATTTTTTGTTTTGTTTTTTGTGTGGTGCTTTTGTTTTATTTGTTAATTTGAATTGTACCAAATATGTTGATTTGTGTGCAGTATTTGTATCATTATCAGATGTTGATTTGTGTACTGTATTTGCAAAACCTTTTTTTTTTTTCTTCTATAACTAAAGCACTCTGGCAGGTTAAGCCTTAAAATTTCTATTTCAGAAGAATTTCAATCACTGTTAATTATATAAGAAGAATAAGTAGAAACTGCAAACTCCAACTTCAAGCAAAGTGATCTTGTTCACTTCTACTGGGACTGTATTAAATTTTTTTTTAACTTGTTTTAACAAAACGGATCACAAAGGAATTTTTGATTAAACCCAAAATGAATATTTGATCCCGGTAATGATATTTTTGTACAATCGTTTCCTGGCTTGCTGTCTGAAAATTAAAATTCGATGGGACACCAGTACCTAAGAAGTACCAGTTGTGTAAATGCTTTGAGAGAGTGGTGATTTAACTAAAAAATTTATAAAAAGGTGCATAAAGTCATTAAGATCTAAAGACATAATTTGCTTTTTTTCTTTTAATTTTTATTAAGACAAACTATAAGTACTAGCTGGTACAGAAAACTCTGGTATTTGTATTCAAACTCACAGCCTAGTCACTAGCCACTAATGATAGTATTTAAACTGATAATTTTAATGTTGTTAATCACATGAAAGTATTACATGGTTCCAGTTCCTGAAAGATATGGGGGGCAGGTCAACTTAGTACATGCCCATTATAATATAGGAACCTCTCATTCTCATCAAGTACTGAGAAGAAAACGCTGCGTCTGAGACAAAGCTTGGGAATGTGGCGTCCTCATTACCCTGAACACTGAATCATTTTCATATAATAATGTAATAAAGCCCCCCTTTCCCCCATCTACGACACGCAGTCAAGAGACTAGGAGGGTGTCCATTTGTTTGTGAATGTGGCGGACGTATCTCAAGTAACTGCACCGCCTGTTAATGTGATTTTGGTCTATGAATTATATACCGGTAGATCAACAGTGGAACAGGTAAAAGTAGTGGCGATGAAATCATAATACCACTACCGTTACGTTCAAGTATCGTATTCCAATTATACCGGTTTTTTAAAAAAAAAAAAAATAATGAATATAACATAAAACTAGTCGATATTAGTACCGGTAAGGTACATAGGATGGGAAATCATCGATACCGGTAGTCGGTAGTGTTGAGTTGTTGTTTTTTTTTTTTTTT